GGAAAGGTGTTCTTCTTTTCCACGACAATGCACGTCCACATGTGGCACGTTTGACGCAACAAAAAATTTTGGACGTTCTCCATCCCCCCACCATATTCTCCAGATATGCCACCATCAGATTACCATCTTTTTCGTTCGCTGCAACACCACCTTAATGGGAAAACATATTCAAATGTGGTAGGTATTAAAGATGACATGGACATGTTTTTAGCTTCACAGCCAAGTGATTTCTTTAATCGGGGCATTAACAACTTGACTGTACGATGGAAAATCATCATCGATAAGAATGGAGACTATTTCGTTTAATAAATGTTTTGTTTTGAAATATAAGTTGTTCGTGTTTGTTTCATCTAAAAAAAAACGACATTAATTTCTTGACGACCTAATATATGTGAGTAGTCGGGGTATCATACTCTTGGCTAAGTTACAGCCTAAACTTCTATGGATCCTCAGCATGCTTCATGTTGTACTTGTTTGGATCCTCAGCATGCTTCATGTTGTACTTGTATGGATCTTCAGCATGCTTCATGTTGTACTTGTATAGATCCTCAGCATGCTCATGTTGTACTTGTATGGATCCTCAGCATGCTTCATGTTGTACTTGTATGGATATTTAGCATGCTTCATGCTGTACTTGTATGGATATTTAGCATGCTTCATGTTGTACTTGTATAGATCCTCAGCATGCTTTCCATACAAGTACAACATGTCCTCAGCATGCTCCATGTTGTACTTGTATGGATCCTCAGCATGCTTCATGTTGTACTTGTATGGATTACTGGAGGTAACATTCACACCTCTACTTACATCTTGGTTTCTGTTGTGTAACAATAATATCCCGAGCTTCATTATTTCAAAGCTTGGGTTTCCTATTACCAAATATACTAGTTTCATCCTTCCGTCTTTAGAGTTTCTACAATTGAAATATGAAACTTCGCCCTAAAACGTTGATTTCTAGACATCTGGCATTTCTCTCCTGGGATTCATGAAAGCATTTACCACGCTACTGGCGGGAATAGTATGCCTGTTTGAACTTTTATAGGCATTATGTATGTATGTAACATCAGATGAGTGAAAGCCAGCGAGAAGGTACAGTATCAACACGTTGCTATGTTCCGAGGGGAAATCCCGTTATATTTGTATTTTATTACTGTTTCCATGATCATTTCTAACACCTAATCCTATTCTAATTAATATATAAGTAAATAATAATAATTTTTTGTTTAGAAGATAGTACATTAGCGAATATAAAACAGCTTATAACAGACTAATTAACTTGATTGGCTCTACACAGTTTCCTTCTGACTATAATATTCTTTGATAAGCGAATAACTTGTTTAAAAACAAGGTTCATTGTTATTTCGTTGATGTTCTTGTGTTTTTATTGAAATATTATTCTGCTGGTTTTTACATCAACTTAGAGACAGTTTTCCATAATGATGTGTTCGTGAGGTTAGATGTTGGTTTCTAGGTGAGTTAAGAAGCAATTTTCTATATTGGTTGTTAAGTAAGGTTAAGGACAATTTCTCACTTACTTCTAGGTGAACTTAGAAACAGTTTTACAAACTGTTTGCTTCGTTCTTAGACTTAAAAATGGAATATAAACAGCACGAGGTTACTTTTTATTACAATTTACAACTTCAGGTATTTTATATATACAGTATGTATAATATTGTTGTATACATGTTACAATAGAATACGTACAATATTGTTGTGTACATGTTAAAATACAGTACGTATAATATTGTTGAATACATGTTAAAATACAGTACGTATAATATTGTTGTACATACGTTAAAATACAGTTCGTATAGTATTGTTGTATATATTAAGATACAGTACGTATAATATTATTGTATACATATTAAAATACAGTATGTATAATATTGTTCTATACATGTTACAATATTGTGCGTATAATATAGTTTTATACATATTAAAATACACTACGTATAGTATTGTTGTATACATGTTAAAATACAGTTCGTATAATATTGTTGTATACATGTTAAAATACAGTACGTATAATATTGTTGTATACATGTTACAATATAGTACGTATAATATAGTTGTATACATGTCAAAATACAGTACGTATAATATTGTTGTATATATTAAAATACAGTACGTATAATAGTATTGTATACATGTTAAAATACAGTATGTATAATATTGTTCTATACATGTTACAATATTGTGCGTATAATATAGTTGTATACATGTTAAAATACAGTACGTATAATATTGTTGTATATGTTAAAATACAGTAAGTTTAATATTCTTGTATACATGTTAAAATACAGTTCGTATAATATTGTTGTATATATGTTAAAATACAGTAAGTTTAATATTATTGTATACATGTTAAAATACAGTATGTATAATATTGTTACAGAGTTAAGTAAGTTATATTAAAAAGCAAATCAGCAACTCACGTGACAACCATTACCAATTTAATTCAAGATGGAACAGCATGTATGAAGACTATATTTTGAGTTATTTGGCGTTTGTACTTAGTGTTATTCCACCAAAATTAACCGCTTCTCGGATCTCTATGTAACATACGTTTCCTATGCAAACTATTCATACACTCAGATCATAAAAATGTGCTCAGTTTAGACACGTAAGATTTCCAAAATGAGAATATCCATTTTATGACATTGGAATATAAAAATGTGGATCAACCTGGGGACCCAGGAATACCCAGAAAGAGACCTGAAAAAAAGTCGTTTATCAGTCATACTAAACAAAGTGCAACGTCTTCTAAGAAGTAAGAATCTATGAACAAAAGCCGTCTAGGTGCTTCAGGCAACAGTATGAACACAATTAAGAAGGAACTCTGTCTGGAAAAGTGACAAAAGTCACGTGGACATAGGTTGTTTCCACGAGATATATCCGTTCCGCTGTCCCTTACCTCAAGTATTTAGAAAGCAGAAGAGCTTTTCATGCTATTACTTACAAAGACATACCAGCAAGTCGGTCGCTGGACAATTGAAATAGTGCTGCGTAAAAAAGTCTCCCTTTACACAAAACAGATTATAGAACGCAACAATGAGGAAGAGTTGTATTTTGGACACAACAGTCTTATGATAAAGCCTTTTACAATGAAAACTACGATGCAGAGCTATTGTTAAAATTCACGGTTGTCAAACAGAGCATGACTTGAACTGTCACGACATGACGCGTTGACACTCGAAATATACTCAAGCTCTGTAATTGTATAATGTCAATAAACCGAATGATGTTTAGATAACAAGTTATTACCATATTTATCTTTCTGGAATAAATATGTAAGTGCTTTACGATATTTTAAATCTTTGATAACATTATTTTCTCTAATCCTAAGAATGTTATAAATATGTATATACCTATTAAAGAAGATAACTGTTGGATGAATACTACCCTCCCCTTCCCCAACACAATACTAGCTGAGGGTAACAGTTAAAGAAGATAACTGTGGGATGAATACTACCCTCCCCTTCTCCAACACAATACCAGCTGAGGGTACCAGTTAAAGAAGATAACTGTGGGATGAATACTACCCTCCCCTTCTCAACACAATACTAGCTGAGGGTACCAGTTAAAGAAGATAACTGTGGGATGAATACTACCCACCCCTTCTCCAACACAATAGAAGCTGAATGGTACCAGTTAAAGAAGATAACTGTGGGTTGAATACTACCCTCCCCTTCCCCAACACAATACTAGCTGAGGGTACCAGTTAAAGAAGATAACTGTGGGATGGATACTACCCTCCCCTTCCCCAACACAAACACAATAGATCATTTTTATAGTAATGTAAGTAGAGTGTTTCACATTTACAACTGTACATTCTTACAAACTATTTGTCCTAGGGGAATACGTTCCAGCAGAAGGACATTGCAAATGATAATTCAGAGGTTTCACATGGCAGAGGATACAATGTCCTAATTGGGATTTTGAAAGAGGTTCAACGCTATTGGCTTAAACCTCAAGAGTTGGAACTCCATTAGGTACCGTCCAGTCTCAAGAGTAGGAACTACATTAGGTACCGTCCAGTCTCAAGAGCAGGAACTCAATTAGGTACCGTCCAGTCTCAAGAGCAGGAACTCCATTAGGTACCGTCAAGTCTCAAGAGGAGGAACTG